TATTATTATTATTATTATTATTATTATTATTATTATTGAGACAGGTTTTCATTATGTGGCCCTGCCTGCCTAGCCTAGAACTTGCTGTGTGGACCAGGATAACCTTGAATGCACAGAGATACACCTACCAATCCACCAATTCCTAGAATTAACCTGACTCCCAATATTAATTTTTTTTATATGTATGGCCTTTACCATCAGGTCAACAGAACAGAATATGTCTGGTTTCAAGATCTACAAATGCTAGTTACACAGTCTTCCTATAAGCATAAGACTGTTCCACAGAGAAGTCCATAATACCAGTTGTAACCTTTTCAAAAAACCCTAGGAACCACAAATTCTTCAAAATCACACACACACACACACACACACACACACACACACACACACCAACATATGTGGGAGAGACAGACACAGAGATCAGATTCAAGAAAGGGAGATAGATAGATGATAGATAGATAGATAGATTGATTGATTAAAATCATCTAATGGTAACCCAGGAGTTCAATTTCTAGGACTAATGGCCTAATTTATAATCATTTGGGCATGCTCACTAATAAGACTGTAAGTAGCTAATTTACTGACAGTTCCATACTCTACCATTTGCTTCCTGATACCTTTGTCTCATCTTCATTTGACATGAGGTGAAAGGGGAAGCAAAGCACAAAGCACAAAGCAACCCACACACAGAGCACAGACACAGCAAGCTCCTGACTTGCTACAGTCCACAGACTGTTGTGAGATACGTGTACCCTGGGTGAAGACGCATTTGCTGTGATGGGGGTTAATAAAGAGCGGAATGGTCAATAGCTAGGCAGGAAGTATAGGTGGTATTTCTGGGGACAGAGAGGACTCTGGGAAGGAGAAAGGCTAAGGAAGAGGAGAAAAGCTAGTTAGGAACAAGCCAAAGCTATAGGCTGAGCTTTCATAATTAATTAATAAGTCTCTGTCTCGTTATTTGTGAGCTGGAGGCCCAAAGAAAAATCTGAATCCAGCCTAGAGACTCCAATATCCACATAAGACTTTTTTTGTAAGAAAATGGTCTCTCGGGCAGCTCAGTGTGTAGAGATGGGTCTCTTTTAAGAGGCTTTGCTGTGCAGCAGAGCACTTGAGCAGCTGGAATGCTGGGTAAAAATGCCTGCTGCATCATAGACTGAGCAGCTTCCCAGAGCTGGGGTAGTAAAGGCACTGGCATGAGGTTAGGCTCTCAGGGAATTGAATGGGGGTAGAGGAGCCAGCTGCCAGAGCCGTGCAGCGGCTGGGGTGGCCGGTTGATGTTTGTCTCATGGTCAGGGAACGCTGCAGGTGCTCAGAAAGCCAGGTCCAGACACACAAAACTCTAAAAAGGTACAATATGCTTAAAGATGTGCTTAGATGCTGAAGAAAGAAAAGAAAATAGATATGCATGGTCATAGAGAAAATAGTTTAAAAGTAATAAATTAAAGTCTTTAAAGAGAGAGTAAAATAATATGAAAAGAATAACAACTGCTGAGAGACATTGGATTATGGAAACTGCTAAATTAAACCAACGTATACATTTTAAGAATGTCTTAACTTCAAAATGGAAGTCAGAAAATATTTTGTGTTGGGGAAGAGGTTATGCCTTTGTTTCCACAGGAATCGAAAGTTATGGTTCCCTTCAAAATTAATAAGGATCAGATTTGATTGTGGAGACCTCCTGAAAATCTTGGCTACAGACACGAGGGAAAAACAACAAGAAAGACTACAAGACACTGTAAGCTGATCCCTTGATATGGGAACAACTCTGAGACAGGATGAGACATGATAAACCTTGTTGGCTACAGAGTCTTTATGACTTATTATTGCATGCCATCCTTTCATATGGCATGAATAGAGATTTATATTACAGTTTGGTTATGCAATCCAAACGGACTTATAAAGTTGACAGATGGCTTTTGCCTGCTCAACATATAACAAAAAAATCATCTTTAGCTGACTTGTGTACACTGCACATTCCATACTTGCATTAATACAGATATATATGTTACTTTTAAAAGTTTGTGGGTTTTTTTTTTCAGAAAAAAGGACCAAACACAAATAAAGACAATTATCCCAAGTGACCCAGCCTCTCAGAATGCCTCTGTTGCAGTTTCCTCAAAATTCTGCATCCAGAACAACTTCAAAGCTGCTAGCTGAGAGATCCAGTCTCACAGACTACTCTATCCAGGACTTCAAGTAAGCTCTGAACTTTCTCATTAAACAGAGACTGGACCACAAATGTTACAGCTAGGTTTCCCAGGACTTGATCATTATCCCAATTTTCTCAGGGTTCCCTAAAGTTGTCATCACCCTCAGACAATAGTAAGAAGTCTAGAGAAGATGATGTCCACATTCCTAAGAGGTGGCATAGGTAGTTTTTGGTCATTTGTTAAAGTATGGATGTTTGTCATTGTTAGGGGGATTGGTTACAAGTTGTTATTGATCATGGTCAGAAAAAAAACTAAACAAACGAGATTAGATTCAGGGATCTCTTTCTGAAGGGAAGAAAGGAGAGATATAATATAGAAAGAATAAAAGGGTAGATTAGTAAATCTACATTTAAACTAAAAAAACAACTATTAATCTAAAATATTTTCATTGATATGGGGTTTTGTATGTTGATACAAATTTAAGGTTGTTTTTGTTATACTGTGTATATGTTTCTATTCTTGTTTTAGACATTGTACCTGTGCAGCTCAATTTAAAATGTAATGTAAAGTTCTAGTCCTTGAAAGCTATTTAGGATAATTGAGAAATATAGGTTAGTAGTTAGTTATCTCTAATAATTAAACTTGTAGTCATGCTAGGTATGTTTTCAAGATTGAACAGAGATATATTTTAGATAAATAGGTGGTCTTCAAACACTTCAGAGACCTACAGAATATGGCATTTAAGATGTTTTAATAACCTAAGGCTTTTCATGACAGTGAGACACGTCTGCTCCTGGCAGCACCAATTTACTTAAAGAAAGGGATGATGGGAATCAAAGAACCTCCATATGGTATTTGCTTTTATTGTGCTTTTATTTTAAAGTTAGCCACTGGGCAAGAAACTGCCCTTGCCTTGACTGCTGACAGTATGCTGTCTAAACTGGACAAGCAGAACACAAAAGAAAGCAATGTTGAACTTTGCCAAGACAAGGTAGCACAGTCCTTCAAAATTCCCACTTCACAGAGAACTCTGTCAGATATTCTAAGTCCACAGGTCAAAGATGGATGCCCCAACATTACAGATGAACCTTGGGTGACTGTCCAGGCAGCCAGATGTCTATGTCATTTCTTAGTTTAGGAAGTTGCTTGCTCTGCACTTCCTGTTACTCAGGTAACATTATATCCTTCTCAGGTCTCTGGAGGGGTTGAAGACAAGATAGTTGTAGTTATAGTTTTCCTTGTTACCAAATTCATAAAAGAAACTTACATATGAGATATAAAGTTTATAAGGTTAGGAAACATAGAAGCTGAAGCCAGCCTGGTCTACAGAGTGAGTTCCAGGACAGCCAGGGCCACACAGAGGAACCCTGTCTCAAAAAACCAAACAAAGAAACATAGGCGCTTAAGCTGTTTATCTAAGAAGGTGTTTTAAGGTCTGAAAAGATATTTTTATGATGGTAATACAAATAGTGATTGAAAATGGTTTAGGTCTAAAACTTTGGACTCACTGAGATAGGATAGATAGTACAGTACTTTCTCTGAATTTGCCAGATACAAATGAACTGGATATTGTAAATATAATTCTTACCTGATAACGGTTCTTATTGTATATAGTTTTACTATGTTAGAGTTAAAAACTCTTCCTCTTTATTTAGACAACACCTGATAATTGTCCTTACTGTATATAGTTTTACTATGTTAGAGGTAAAACCTTTTCTTTTTATTTGGACAAAAAGGGGGAAATGTTGTGGGATATTTGTACACTGTGAAGATGATAAATAGGTTGATTTAAGTTATAAGAGCTAGTTAGGAACAAGCCTAAGCTACAGGCTGAGATTTCATAATTAATTAGTTAATAAGTCTCTGTGTCATTATGTGAGCTGGCAGCCTGAAGAAACATCAGACTACAATGGACCACAGCCTCCATGGCTTTAAATCTATAGCTTCATTGCAGTCTCTACCCATAAAATTAGAGCTAGATGTTCTAGCTATTTCTCAGTCTGAAATGTGCCTATCATTTTCGTGATCTAATTTGAAAACAAGAATTCTCAAGAAATATTTGGGCTTCTTCATTTTCATCAGAAGTTACAACACTCAACAGGAGCTGTGAGGATGCGTATCACACCTCTTGTGGAAAGAACAAAGGAACGGATAGGGAGCACTATTAATAAAAACAGACATATCCCTTTGTCCTAGCTTCGTTTTTGCTACTGTGAAAAAAAATCATGACACAACTCAGGAAAGAAAGGGTTAACTCCAAATTGTAGTGCATTACTTCAGGGAAGTCAAGGCAGGAATTTAAAGCATCTAAAAGAGTGCTTCTTGACCCATGGGTCGAGACCCCTTTGACAAATCTCTATCTCCAAAAGTATTTACATTATGATTCATAACGGTAGCAAAGTAAGTTATGAAGTAACAATGAAAATAATTTTATTGTTGGGGGTCACCACAGCATGAGGGTCATGGCGTTAGGAAGGTTGAGAACTTCTGAGAAAGCATCACAGGCACAGTCAGGAGTAGAAAGAGAACAGATTAAGGCTCTTTGCTCACTTGCTTCTATGCTCAGGCAGCTTTTTCCTACCACTGTTCGGGACCCCTCTGCCTTTGAGTGGTGCTGCCCAAAACAGGTTGGGTCTTCCCACATCATTAAGTATCAAGATAACAGTCCCCCACCCAGACATACCCAGAGGCTAACCTAATCTACACAAGTCCCCATGAAGACTCTCTTCCCAGGCATTCCAGGTTGTATCAAGTTAACAGTTAAAGCTAACCCACACACCCTTCTACATTTTCGTTCCTATTCTGTGGGTCTCAGTGGTTTGGTCATTGGTTCTGCACAAAGCATCAGTTTCTGTTCCTATGCTTCATGCCAGGAGACACATATGAACAATATTCCCAGAGAGGCTCAGGCATGGATGTGTCCAAGTCTTTCCATAAATTATCGGGAACATGTCAAAAGGCTGATCCATAAAAAGAAAAAAAAAAACCAGAACAAGCATGATGCTGCTGTCTACATACAGCTCTACTCTCCTTATCTGCTTCTGGGTTTGACTTCGAAGACATCTAGACAGAGAAGCTGCCGACTACTGCTCTTGTAGACTTCTAACTTACCTGATAGAATTTGATCTCATGATGTAGGAAGATGTTTACTTCATGGGGATCTCGAAGAGTGTCAATTGCCAGGACCCCAAAGATCCTCATATATGCATCATGAAGAGGCAGAGCCAGGAATGAACCATGACGCTCACTCTTCCTGCGGGAACTATTCCAGAAGAAGATGTTCCCATGGTGCTGAACTTGAGGGACATGGATTGGCTTGCCTTCATCCACTACTGTAAAACTGTTGAAAAGTGGATACAAGGATAGGGAAAAGTGGCAGGCTTTAGACTAAACCATAGAGAAAACAAAATATAGTCTCCTACGATTCTAAGCAATATATGTAGGAGAGGTGAATCGGGTAATATCAGTTTAGAGGGTCTGACTTGTTAAGATTTGAAAAAAATCATTACAGAGCTAGAAGTGTGGTTCAAAGGTAGAGTGCTTGTGTGGCATGTGTGAGGCACCCAGTTCCATCTCCAGTACTGCAAAAGAGAAACAGAGACAAGGAGACAACCCTTGATCTTCGAGGAAATAGATATGGACCAGATGCTGGGGCTACAAGGTATGGAGCCGACATGGTAAAGCCGAGCCCCTAAACAGTGAAGCATTTCCAGAGTGAGGTCTAGAAATGATCTGGTAAAACCAATTAGGATCATGGGGCTTGAGAGATGGACTAGCAGTTAAGAGCACTGTTTCTCTTGCAGAGGACCTAGGTTCGATTTCCAGAACCCACGTGGTGGCTCATAACTGACAATAACTCTAGTTCCAGGGGACCTGACATCCTCTTCTGGCCTCTGCAGACACCAGGCATGCAAGTGGTACACAGACATACATGCCAGCAAAACATCCATACACACAAAATAAATTAATTGATAAAATACAACAACAACAAAAACCATTTAGGACTGGAAGCCCATCTGGTTCCATTCTGGAAGCACTGGTTGCTTAGAGACAGTTCTCTCTTGAGCAAATCACCGAGGTTCAATGCTTGCTTACTTCAGAAGGGAAAATACTATTTTAGAAAGATGTAACCAGAGCCAGGCATGATGGCACACACCTGTAATCCAGCACTTGGAAGGTAGAGGCAGGAGGATCAGGAGTTCAAGGCCAGCCTTGACCCCATAATGAGTTGGAGGCCAGCCTGAAGTCCATGAGTTCCTATCTTTAAAACGAATAGAAAGAAACCGACTCTTCAACAAGTTCTTACCTGATTCCTTTCATGTCCCTGTAGAGCACTTTGTTCAGTACAAAGGGAGCATCATCTAGGGTACAAGCCACATTCCTCAAGAGAACATCCCCTCTCTCTGGCAGGAAGAGGTTTTCTTCTAAGAGGGAAATGTGAGCACTGATCTTCTTATTTCCATGAGCTTCAGCATCCTGTGGCAAAATATTTCTGATCATGGATTTGCATTTGTCAGTGGCTACAAAGATCCCCTAATTCCTTTGCTAACCTATTTGGGAATCTAGCACCAATGATTTCATTGAATAAGTGACAGAGATTACCAATCATGGGCAGAGGGGAAAAAGGCAGATACCACACTGCCCTTCAAACCTGAATTTAGTCAGTGGAATGGGTGTCTTATGTTTAGTTAGACTGCTTTACTGAAAACAAACACAACCCAAACAAAATAAAACCTCTTAACTCTAATCCAATTTAAAGGTTCAAAACTTTGATCCCTTGGAACCACAATCTTAGTTGGAGGTGAGGGACTTCAGCAAAGAGCACTGATTTCAGAGGGTTCCAGCGAGGGGATGCCTGCGTTCTACTCACCTTTCACCATCTAAACATGAGTGTGAAAACAAAGTTCCCGAGGATTTGTTTTAGGTTTTAAAAAGATTTCTTTATTTTTATGTTCTGTGTATGGGTGTGCTACATGTGCATGCCTGGTGCCAGCAGAGAACATTAGATCTCCTGGAACTAGAGTTACAAGTGACTGTGAGTCACCATGGGGGTGCCAGGAATTGAAGGTGGGTCCCCTCTGCAAGTGCAACAAGTGTACTTAACAGCTGAACCATTTTCCCAGCCTCAAAGAATTCTTAACAGCCTGGATCTGATCAGGGACATATCAGGAAAGTTTCTTGGAGACTAAGACTGTAGACTTTCTGTTCTAAAATTTGCATATAAAGATTAGGTTTCAGTGTGGCATTCATCAAAGTTTGCTTTCCTTTCGTTTTTTTGAGATAGGGTTTCCTTGTATAACAGTCCTAGCTGTCCTGGGACTCGCTTTGTAGGCCAGGCTGGCCTCAAACTCACAGAGATCCACCTGCCTCTGCCTCCCGAGTGCTGGGATTAAAGGCGTGCGCCGCCACCGCCCGGCAAAGTTTGCTTTTGTTGTTTCTTCTTCCCCCCTTCTTTTCTCTCCCTTGTCCCCCCACTGCACAGCCTCCTTTCTGTTTTCATGTCACATGGGACCCTTTGGGCTCCCCTCTCTCAACACCTCTTGTTCCCTTCTCGTTTAGTTTCATAGTCTGTACTCATCCTTATCCCCTGCTGTTCTTGATTGTCAAGGTGACTACATCTCAAACTAATCAAAGCAGAAGCCACTGGGCACACCTGTGAAGAATTTTTCTTGATTGAATTATTTGAGATCCACCCTAAATCTGGATCTTTTTTTGGGGAGGAGAGATCTAGCTTAGATCTGGGCCACACCTTCTGGTGGCAGCCTATATACAGGGCGTGGGAGAACAAAGCATTGCTCTTTGCCTGCTTGCCCTCACTATGTAGTTCTGGCTAACCTGAAAGGTTTCCTGAACCAGTATGAAAGCCACTTGGTGAAAGGAGAAAATTGTCCCCACAAATTGTCTGTTCACCTCTACACACATTCCTAGCATGCTCCCCAATAATAAAAATAAAATTTAAACAAAAATTCTTTTTTGATGGGTAAATTGTTCCTCAATCATCATGCAAAGTAAATGTAGCTTGCACTGTTGTATATCTCCCTACTGGCATTTTTCATTATCATTCTATTATCTAGTCTTGGCATATGAGAATCTCAGAACAAATAAGTTTCCAGGTCATCATTTCCATATCTTTCTGTCTTGCTCCAATCATCCCGGGTTTATCTCACTTAGCTTGCTTTATTTGTATGTATTTTTTAAATAATTTATTTAACGTGCATTGGTATAACAGTGTCAGATCTCCAGGAACTGACAGACAGTTACAGAGTCACAGACAGTTGTGAGCTGCCATGTGGGTGCTGGGAATTGAACCCGGGTCCTCTCAAAGAGCAGTCAGTGCTCTTAACCACTGAGCCATCTCTACAGCCCATATGTATTTTTTTTTCTAAGACAGAACTTTATGTAGCCCAGCCTGGCCTAAAATTCAGTTTGTAGCCAAGGATGATTTTTAAATTCTGATTATCTTGGGTCTACCTTCTGAGATTTGAGATTGCAAGTATGCGCCACTCATATCTGGTTAACAAAGAGCTGGGGATTGAACCCAGAGCTTCATACATGCTAGGCATGCTAGCAATTGAACTCCATCTCTAGCCCCTTACTTAGGCTTGAGTCATTTATAATTTTTTTGTAATAAATGAATCATCTTTAGTATCACTCAATGATTTTTTTCAGCATTCAGTGATTTTTTTCAAGCAAATTTTGTGTTCCTCTTATGCAGCCATTGAATATGACATACTGTGAGAAAACATTTCCTTTTATAGTACTTTAGAAAGCATACCTGGAGCCGGGTGGTGGTGGTGCATGCCTTTAATCCCAGCACTCGGGAGGCAGAGCCAGGCAGATTCTCTGTGAGTTCAAAGCCAGCCTGGTCTACAGAGCGAGTTCCAGGGCAGGCTCCAAACCTACAGAGAGACCCTGTTTCGAAAAAACAAAACAACAACAACAAGAAGAAGAAAGCGTACCTGGGTGAGGGCCCTAAAGGTCTCGGCATACACTGGCTCCAGGGACACCCCACTTGTCTCTGCAGCATGTTGGATCTGATGGAGCCACTTCCGTCTTGCACAGTTCCTTAGACCCTCAGTGTGGCTCCTCTCTAAAGAACTCATCAGAAACTCCACAACACTGTCCAGAACTTGGTCCTCGTTGCCCCTGAGTTCAGCCACAACCAATTCTATGTACTTCTGAAACTGCTCTGAAGACAACTTTATTTCATGACCAGGATGTGGCTTTGGAAATTGGATGTGCAGTTTAGCTAAAAAACATAAGTGAGAAACAGAGAGCAGACTAAAAGTTCATTTACCTATGGGAAATCTTTTCATTTTCCTCTTACATGTATGTTCTATGGACAACTGAATACACTAAAGGGATTTCTGAGCACTGTGACGGACTTCCGAGACTAATTCAGCATGACTTCGGTGCCGCCAGCTATGTTTTAACTCTACCTCTAGCCAGGTGAATTCCCAGGGTCTGCTGTCACCCTCCTGTTTGTCTTCCATATCCTATCCTGTTGTTCTTTGGCACTGTCCTTTGTGGTCACCCATTTCCATTCCTAATTTTATAACCCAAAACAGAGTTTACCAATGGTGAATGATTCATACATATTTTTAAAACTAAACTAAAACACTGCCTGTTTGGCTAGGAATATGGCTCAGTGATAATGCACTTGCCTAGCATTCACAAAGCCCTGGGTTCAGTCTCTAGGACACACCACACACACACACACACACACACACACACACACACACACACACCACACCATACACACACACCACACCACACACACATACTACATACATACCACACATACACACACCACACACACACACCACACACACCACACACCACACACACACCATACATGTACCATACACACACACATACACACGCTACACATACTATACACACACACTACACACACCACACACACACCATACATGTACCACACACACACACCACACACCATACACACACACCACACCACACACACATACTATATACATACCACACATACACACACCACACACACACACCACACACACCACACACCACACACACACCATACATGTACCACACACACACACATACACATGCTACACATACTATACACACACACTACACACACCACACACACACTACACAGACCACACACACACTCACTTACACACACCACACACATTACACACACACCACACACATAACACACACATACACACTACACATCACACACATAACACACACATACACACACACACACACAGAACTTTGCAGGACTCAGGAGGCAAAGGCATAAAGATCACGAGGTTTTGGAAGCAGCACTCCACCACTAAAGTATGCTCTAGATCTTCTCTTTCATTTTTCTTTTTAAAAATGTTATTATTTTATGTGTTTGCCTGCATGCGTGTCTGTGTATCACATGTGTGCCTGGTGCCCTTGGTGGCCTGAAGAGGGCGTCAGATCCCACAGAACTGGAGTTCATCTCATAACAGATGTTTGTGAGCCACCATGTGGGAGCTGGAAATCGAACCCAGGTCCTCTGGAAGAGCAGCCAGTATTCTTAACCTCCGAGCCAGCTCCTCTTCTATTTTTCTTTGTACAGTGATGAATCTACCATCAGACTTGAACGTTATCAGGAAGTTACCTTTTTCATCCTCTTCTACCCTGTTCTAGCCCATCTCCTAGCATCTCTTACCTGAAATTTGGCTTTTCCCCCTCACACTGTCGCAGTTACATAACAGTGGCCGTGTTGCACATGAATATTCCTAGCATTACACAGTTTAGTTTTACCTGTTTGTAAACACTACACAAAGATTATCAAACCACATATAGTTTTCTTGAACTTGCTTTTAAAATGTTTTTGTTATCTTTTATCTTTAAATGTAATTAACTTAATTTTTATTCTTTATGTGTGTGGGCGTTTTGCCTGCAAATATGTCTGTGTACCATTTGCATGCCTGGTATTCTTGGAGGCTAGGAGAGGGTGTCAGATCCCCTGAAACTGGAGTTACAGATGGTTGTGAGCTGGCATGTGGGTGCTGGGAATCATAGTGTAGCCAGTATTCTTAACTTCTGAGCTATCTCTCTAGCCCCTTGCTAAAAAAAAAAAATGATTATTTTGTGTTTGTTTATGTGTATACCTGTCTTCATGGTTGTGTGTGTGTGTGTGTGTGTGTGTGTGTGTGTGTGTGTGTGTGTGTGTGTGTGTGTCCATAGAGACAACAAGAGGATGTTGGATCCCCTGGAGCTGGAGTCACAGGCAGTTGTGAGCCACCTGAAGTAGAAGCTGGAAATTGAACTCAGGCTCTCAGCATGAGCAGCAAGGACTCTTAACTGCTGAAAAGAGAAAAGAGTCCAGGAGTTCAGCCCCAGGACTCTCCTCCAGCCCCAGGACTCTCCTCCAGCCCCAGGACTCTCCTCCAGCCCCAGGACTCTCCTCCAGCCCCAGGACTCTCCTC